GTAGGTGTAGATATAGATGTAGATGTAAAGAGCTCCCCAGTGCCCGGCCCTCATCTCCGTGCCTGCTTGCTGTTGCTGCTTTCTCGGCGACTTGCTGTCTGCTTCTGCTGCTGCTTCACTTACGGCGTGGCGTCGGCGGTTCTGGCGCTACTACTACTACTACTACTACTACTACTACTACTACTACTACTACTACTACTACTACTACTACTACTACTACTACTACTACTACTACTACTACTACTACTACTACTACTACTACTACTACTACTACTACTACTACGACTACTACTACTACTACTACTACTACTACTACTACTACTACTACTACTACTACTACTACTACTACTACTACTACTACTACTACTACTACTACTACTACTACTACTACTACTACTACGACTACTACTACTACTACTACTACTACTACTACTACTACTACGACTACTACTACTACTACTACGACTACTACTACTACTACTACTGCTACTACTACTACTGCTACTACTACTACTACTACTACTACTACTACTACTACTACTACTACTACTACTACTACTACTACTACTACTAACTACTACGACTACACTACTACTACTACGACTACGACTACTACTACTACTACCTACTACTACTACAAAAACTACTACTACTAAACTACTGCTACTACTAGTACTACTACTATACTACTACTACTACTACTACTACTACTACTACTACGACTACGACTACGACTACTACTACTACTACTACTACTACTACTACTACTACTACTACTACGACTACGACTACGACTACGACTACGACTACGACTACGACTACGACTACGACTACGACTACGACTACGACTACGACTACGACTACGACTACTACTACTACTACTACTACTACTACTACTACTACTACTACTACTACTACTACTACTACTACTACTACTACTACTACTACTACTACTACTACTACTACTACTACTACTACAACAACTACTACTACCACTACTACTACTACTACTACTACTACTACTACTACTACTACTACTACTACTACTACTACTACTACTACTACCGCTACTGCTGCAATTACGACGATGAGGAGAAGGAGGAGGACGGCGTTTACTGCTCCTACTAATGTTGCTTTTCTAGAGGCTCCAACTCCTAGGTAGGGTCGCACTGGGATAATTTTCAGCTCGCTGACGGCCCAAGACGGCCCAAGAGGTCCCCAGGATCGCCCCACGAGCGCCCAAGAGGTCTCCAAGATGGCCCTTGATAGCCCCAGAGGCACCCAAGAGGGCCCCAAAAAGGCCCAAAGACGGCCCAAGGAAGCCTGCAAGACTGCCCTGGAGCACCCCAACAGGGCCCCAAGTCGGCCCAGCCAGAGAGGCCCCCAAGACGGCTTCCGACGGCGTCAGACGGGCCAGGAGTCCATCAAGACGGCCCAAGATGGCTCTACCAAGAGGCCTCCAAGAGAGCCCCCAGGAAGGCCATAAGAGGCCAACATCATGGATCTTCCTTATTTTTTGAAGGATTGTGGCAATTGCTTCTTGTCGGCTTCCGGACGGCCCGAGACGGCCCAAAAGACCGCCAAGGATCGCCCAAGAGGCCTCCAAGACGGCCACAGAACGGCCCAAGAGACCTCCAAGACGGGCCCAAGAGGGCCCAACGACGGCCAAAGAGGCCTCCAAGACGCCCAAGATGGCCTCCAAGACGGCCCTGTAGCACCAAGAGGGCCCCAAGTCGGCCCAGAGAGGCCCCCAAGACGGCTTCCGACGGCGTCAGACAGGCCAGGAGCCCCACCAAGACGGCCGAAGATGGCCCGAATGGCCCAAAACGGCCCAAGAGGCCTCCAAGAGAGCCCCCAGGAAGGCCCGAAGAGGCCAAAATCATGGATTGCCCTTATAGCTCGTTGAGGGATAGTGGCATTTGCTTCTTTTCGGACTTCCGACGGCCCGAGACGGCCCAAGAGCCCCCCAAGGATCGCCCCAAGATCGCCCAAGAGGCATCCAGGATGGCCCCAGAGCAGCCCAAGAGGCCTCCAAGACGGGCCCAAGAGGACCCCAAGACGGCCCAAGAGGCCTTTAAGACGCCCAAGACGGCCTCCAAGACAGCCCTGGAGCACCCCAAGAGGGCCCCAAGTCGGCCCAGAGTGGCCCCCAAGACGGTTTCCGACGGCGTCAGACGGGCTAGGAGCCCAACAGGATGGCCAAAGAGGCCCCCGAGAAGCCCCCGCAGGCCCCAAGAGGCCTCCAAGAGGACCCCCAAGATGCCTCCAGGAGGCTCCCAGGAAGCTCCCAGGAGGCTCCAAGAGTGTCCCCAGGGGCTCCCAAGATACCCCCTCCTCCTCCTCCTCCTCCTCCTCCTCCTCCTCCTCCTCCTCCTCGTTCTCCTCCACCTCCTCCTCCTCCTCCTCCTCCTCCACCTCCTCCTCCGCCACCTCCTGATCTTCCCCGCCATCCTCCCCCACGTGTTCCCCGAAGGGTTTCCACAACGGCGGGGGATACACATGGTCGGATAGCTTGGAAGAGCTCTTGCCACAACGCTCGGCCACATGGGCGATTCTAGAAGGCAGGGGGCGGCGGTGATTCGCAGCAGGCGTCCTCGATAACTCAGAACTCCTCCCTGTCAAACCCCGAGGCTGGTCGAAAGGGCGGACCAGGCGTTTCGCCTGAGCCTCCCTCACCACTCGTGATCCTGGAACTTGACATTTGCTCGAGCTTCACGGGTGTAGGGCGGTCCGCTCTCAACATGCGGCTCTCGCCTTAGCGCCGCGCAGACTTGCATGAAGACATTGCAAGAGCTTCCCGGATGGAGGGCGGGTCGTTTTCAAAATGTAGCTCTCGACTTAGCGCCGCGCACATTGGGTCTTATAAAATTTGCAACAAATTCACGGGTGGAGTGCGGTTGTGCTTCAAAATGTGGCTCTCGCGTTAGCACTGCGCATCGCATGTTCAAGGATGCTCATGGTTAGCGTACCAGAACTATGATGTGGCGCGATGTCGGACTGTCAGGGCGAAACAGTCACGTTGATTTGCGGTGTTGAAATCCCAGGAACGGTATTCTGGCACGATGCAGGATCGTCAAGACGCAACGGTAACGGTGGCTCGCGGCGTTGAAGTCCCAAGGATGGCTTTCTGGCACAACTGCAGATGTTCAAACGATTGTCTTCCAACGGGGCATTTCCCTGTGAAAATGAACCCGTGCAGGAGCCTATGAAGAGGGAACTTGGAGGGAACGTTTGTTGCAATATCGTTGATGAGTACGGGTTTAGACTGGTCCTCCTCCTCCTCCTCCTCCTCCTCCACCTCCTCCACGCTGCCTCGGGACGAAAGCGTAGGCCAGCGACGTGGCACGACTGGCAGGCTGGCGCGCTTTGTTTACAGTGTCATGTTTGAGCTCCAGACCAGCTCCCGATGGACGGATGCCCTGGTCTGCCCACCGAGGTGAGCGTTTTTCTCTTATTCGGCGTTTCGACGTTGGGCGGAAAGGGGGGGAGGGGGGGGGTGCCTGGCTCCAGACCTCTGCTAAATGCGACTGTTTGCAAGAGTGCTGCATCTGGGGGAGACTCCACCCGCTGGAAACAGGCGCTACAAAACAGCCGAGATATACTCCATAGGGGGTGGGGAGGGGGGGGGTTGCGGGCCCGCGCCGAGCGGCAACACGAGGAATACAAAAGACGGTCACGTGCTGCAAAAGCTGCGTGCGAACCCCCAAGGACCTACCATCGTCGCTCGGGCCGGGACGCTGGCTTCGGGAAACGGAGTCTCCTGGTCCGTTTGCCTCCTCTCGCCTGGCGCCCCACGGGCAGCACCGCGTCTGTTGAAACTGTGGGGGGTGGTCCTACGGACGAGCGCTGAAGCTCGGCCGAAGTTGCGAGCCGCCGACGGAAAAACGGTTGGAGGTCCTTGGGAGACTCCGATCGGGCAAGTGAGTTGAGGGCGGGTCGGTTTCTAAATGTGGCTCTCGCTTTAGCGCCGCGCACATTCGTTTGGGAAGAATGCACGAGCTTCACGGTTGGAGGATGGTTCGTTTTCTAAATGTGGTTGTCGCCTTAGCAATACGCACATTCGTACCATAAGCTTGCAAAAGCTTCACGGATTGAGGGCGGGTCGTTTTCAAAATTTGGCTCTCGCCTTCGCGCCGCACACATTCGTTCTGACACTTTGCAGGGATTTGACGGATTGAAGGTGGCTCATTTTCAAAATGTGGCTCTCGCCTTATTTGCAGAAGTTACACGACCTCTCATGGTAGACGTACCAAAACCGGTGTTTTGGAACAATTCAGGGTTGTGAGGGCGCAACAGTTATTCAGATTCGCGGTCTTCAAGTCTCAGGAAGTGAGTTCTGACATAATTCAGGATCGCCAAAACGAAACAGTCAGGTTAACTCGTGGTGTTGAAGCCCTGAAAATGATGATTTGGCACGCTTCAAGATGTCCACACGGTTGTCCCCAAGCGGGGCAAACCCCTGTGGAAATGACCCCCTGTAGAGGCCCATGGAGAGGGATCTTGGAGGGAGGGTGTATTTCAGCATCGTTCATGAGTCTCGGGTTTACACTCCTCCTCCTCCTCCTCCTCCTCCTCCTCCTCCTCCTTCTCCTCCTCCTCCCTCCTCCGCCCCCGCCCGATGTCCCGAGCCTGTGAAAGGGTCATCAGCTCATCGTTGTCGTTGTCGTCGTGGTCGTCGTCGTCGTCCTTCTGGGTCAGCGGCACTGGCCGCAACGCCTGAACAATACGCATTGCAATGGGTGTTCACGCGTGCGTATGCTTCACATCTACAACACATCGCGGACCTCAGGACGCGGGGAGGCTCCACGAGCCACCGGACGCGGCCCCACTCCGACCCGTCAAAGCAAACACTCGAACACAATCAGAATGCATGTTGCGCATCAAATCTCGGATTGGCGACCATTAAAACTGATAAAGCTTGACACCAAAATGACATTGGTCACACGACGTACAAGAAAGCTTTGGGATAAAGTGGGGGGTGCGGAGACCGAAAGGAATCAAGAAATAAATGCATTTGGCCGGTGTGGCCGGTGTGTCCGGATAGCTGCCAGGAGGGCATACCGTGGGATGTGCTTCTTCGTTCTCGTTGGGGGGCCAGCTCATCTTAACACTTGTGGCCAGTGGTAATAGCCATTGACAGCAAGATTATGCCATAATGCCCGAATAGTTAGTCATGACCACCGTGATTGCGATGAGCTGGGGGGCTGAAGACTTGCAAATGGACAGGGCCAATCACTTCCCCATCATCATCTTCTCAAACTCATCGAAATCGAGCTTGCCATCATTTTCAGAATCAGCCTCTTTGATCATTTCTTCGATCTCGCTTTGGCTGAGATCCTCCCCGAGGTGCTGGAGGTGCTCCATTGCATTCATCAGCTCGTCGGGGGTGATGAAACCATCGCCATCTACGTCGAATACTTTGAATGCTTCAATCAGCTCATCCTTTATCTCGGACGTCTTCATCTTTTTCACCATTAGAGATAAAAACTGCCAAAAATCGATCGCCTCTTCACCTTCCTCGTTCACTTCTTTGATCATGCACTTCAGCTCCGCCCGTGTCGGGTCTTGTCCCAAGGCATTCAACACGTGACCCAACTCCTCGACCGACAACATGTAATCCTTGTCCTCGTCGAACGATTTGAATAGTTCATGGAACTCTTGCAGTTGCTCCTGTATGAGCAGGTCAGCCATTCGCCGATCCAGCGCCCCCCCGGCGAGCACCGAGAGCTCCACTTAGCCCGCCATTTGGCTTGACCCGATTGCCATCGAGCCCATGGCTACCTACCGATGGTCGTGGATGCGGCCTCTGACGGCGACGAGAGCGACTGACAGAAAGAGAGCGTCTGTCGTCAGCCAAGACATCGACACTGGAGGTACTGAGACTCGCATCATGCACGCACATTGCATACGCATAAGTACGTACTGTCCGCGAACAACATGTGTGTGGGAGTGAGAAAGTGCGTTGGAATGCGCTTGTACGCGCAGATCCGCCCGATGGCGATACTCGCGAGTATTGTGTGCTACCTCGTGTGATACCACGTCAAGTGCACGCGTGCCCGAACACTCAGAGCAGCGGACGCGGACGCGACAAACAGGCGAAGCGAACGAGGAGCGGTTCGGGCCCAATGGCGTCTCCGCCCCCAGTGCCCCTCCTCTGGACAAGCAACATAGTGCACAAGCAGAAACTGTCGGGCCTCCACGCGAATTTCCTGGATCGGCGCTGGCCCCCCCTGCCCTCTAGCTCCAGCCCAGCGCCGCTCCAGGAAGTCAGCGCGGAGCTCCAACGTGTTTTGTTTATGCCGTGCTTGGTTGTTCTATCCTCCCCATGCCCGTCCCCGAGCGGCCCTCGCCGGGCCTGTCCGGCGTCTGGCATCCGCCGTGGCCTCTGAAAACAAGTCACCGCTGGCGCCGACGGGCCACAACCGAGGGAGCTGTGCTCCTCCCCCCCCCCCCCGGGAGACCATCGCATCGGCGGCCTCTCGAGGGAGCGTTGTCGCGGCGACAGCGGGCGTTATATGGAGGGGGGGGGGGCGGGGGGGGCGGGGGGGGCATATCAGGTACCCCCCGACTCCGCCGCGTCGGCCCGGCGCCCCAGACTGGGAACGCACTGCTGCAGTGCTGGGGACGCACTGGGAGGGGGGGGGGAGCGTCACGTTCTGGAGGGAAGGGCTGGGAGGGAGGGGGGGGGGGATCACGCGCGGTGTGGCCCCGTGCGGGCGGCGCCAGTGGGACCTGAGGTGGAGCTCCCTGTGAGGCCACGAAACGTGTGAGGGGTGTGCCGACACGGGGCTGGCGCCCGCATGCGGGCGGCGCCAGAGGAGCCTGAGGTGGAGCTCCTTGTTGGGGCCACGAAACGTGTGAGGGGTGTGCTGACCGGGGGTGTCGGCCACATGCGGGCTGCGCCAACGGGGCCTCAAGTGGAGCTCCTCACGGGGCCACGAACTGTCTGAGGGGTGCGCACACACCAATTTTCCGCCCAAATGCAGGCGGCGCCAGTAGGGCCTTCCGTGGAGCGCCCTCTGGGCCACGAAACGAGTGAGGGGTGTGCCGGCACGGAGTGGCGCCCACATGCGGACGGCGCCAATGGGACCTTAGGCGAGGCTCCTTAGGAGGCCACGGGGCGTGCGAGGGGTGTGCCGGCACGGGGGTGGCGCCCACATGCGGGCGGCGCCAATTGGACCTGGGGTGGAGCTCCCTATGGCTCCACGAAACGTGCGAAGGGCGTGCCGACACGGGAGTGATGACGATGATGGTGATGATGACGGCCATGATGATGGCGATTGTGATGGTGATGGTGATGGTGATGGTGATGGTGATGGTGATGATGATGATGATGATGATGATGATGATGATGATGATGATGATGATGATGATGATGATGATGCTGATGCTGATGATGATGATGATGATGATGATGATGATGATGATGATGGTGGTGGTGATGATGATGATGCTGAAAGGGGGAGGATGAGCAGCAGGTGGCGAGGGAGGGGCGAGGAGGAAAAGGAAGAGAAGGAGAAGTGACGCGGGGCGCTGCCTCTTCAAAACCAAGACCAAACACCACAGGCTGGCTGGGAAGCACGTTAAGTTAGCGGGCGCAAACAAGCCGAAGCTGTTGCAAGCGCCGATCGGGTTACGGGCGGGACACGCTAGGAACGGAGGATGGGATTAGCCTGGCGAAGAGCCCAACCACATGCAGTCGTGAGTATCGCAATTGCTCCTTGCGGAGCCACGAAACGTGGGCGGGGTGTGCCGAAGTGTAGGGGTCGCTCAAAATGCGGGCTGCGCCAATGGGACCGTAGGTGGAGCTTCCTGTGGGACCACGAAACGTGTGACGGGTGTGCCGAAAATGGGGTGTCGGTCACATGCGGGCTGCGCCAACGGGGCCTCGAGTGGAGCTCCTCACGGGGCCACGAACTGTGTGATGGGTGTGCCGACATGAGGGTGGCGGCTAAATACGGGTGGCGCCAGTGGGGCCTTAGGTGGAGCTCCGTATGGGACCACGAAACGTGTGAGGGGTGTGAAACGGGGGTGGCGCCCAGGTGGAGCTCCACGTGGAGCCCCGAAACGTGTGAGGGGTGTGCCGACACGGGGCTGGCGCCCACATGCGGGCGGCGCCAGTCGGGCCTGAGGTGGAGCTCCGTATGGGGCCACGAGATAAACTAAAAGTGTGCCGAAACGGGGTGGCGCCCCATGCAAGCGGCGCCACTGGGGCATTCCGTGGAGCTCCCTATGGAGCCCTGAAACGTGTGAGGGGTGTGCCGACACGGAGTGGCGCCCACAAGCGGGCGGCGCCAATGGGGCCTTAGGTGGAGCTCCGTATGGGGCCACGAAACGTGTGAAGGGTGAGCCAAAACGGGGGTGTTGCCCCCATGCGGGCGGCGCCAATGGGACCTTAAATGGAGATCCCTGTGGGGCTCCAAACCGTGTGAGGGGTGTGCCGACACGGGGGTTGCGCCTACATGCGGGCGGCGCTACTGTGACCTTAGGTGAAGCCCCCTTATGGGGCCACGAAACGTTTGAGGGTGTGCCGAAACGGGAGTGATGATACTGGTGATAATGATGATGATTATGATGCTGATGACAACGATGATGCAACTGATGATGATGGTGGTGGTGATGGTGATGGTGGTGGTAATGATGATGATGATGCTGATGATGCTGATGATGATGATTATGATGCTGACGATGGTGATGATGATGACGATGATGATGATAATGATGACGATGATGGTGATGATGATGGCGATGATGAAAGCAATGATGGTAATGCTGTTGATGCCGATGGTGGTGAAGATGACGGTGTTGATGATACTGATACTGATGATGATGATGATGATGATGAGGAGGAGGACGACGACGATGGTAATGATGATGACGACGGTAATTATGTGTTGGTATTGATGTTGATGGTGATGACGATGCTGATGATGAGGATATGAGTACGATGACGACGACGATGATGATGGTGATGATGATGATGATGATGATGATGATGGTAATGGTGATGATGACGATGATGGTGATGGTGATAATGACGGCCATGGCAATGATCATGGCTATGGTGATGATGATGATGATGGTGATGATGACAATGATGATGATACTGATGATGATGATTATGATGATGACGACAATGACGACAACGATGATGGTGATGAAGATAACAGCGATGATGATGGTGTTGATCGTGTTGATGATGCTGATGATGAGTACGAGGATGATGATGATGATGACGACAATGATTATGATGGTAATGATGCTGATGATGGTGATGAAGAAGAACATGATGACGATGAGGGTGATGGTGATGATGACGCCCGGATAATGGCGACGACGATGATGATGATGATGCTGATGATGATGATGATGATGATGATGATGATGATGATGATGATGATGATGATGATGATGATGATGATGATGAGAGGACGGGGGAGCAAGAGGAGGAGAACGAAGGACGCGGGGCGCTATCTCTTCAAAACGAGGAGCGTCGAAGCCGATGGGCCCCCAGGGGGGTCCTGGCTGTGGCTGGCCCGTGGCGGCGAGCAGACGGAGAGGGTGAGCGGCCTCCCGGAGAAAGCAAGGGGCCTCCCCAGAACTCTCCTCCACAATTACACAATGAATATTACTCTCCCCTCTCCCCTGATGACGTCCAGGAGATGTCCGGCCCCCCTCCGCGCATTATTGTTTTACACACGTGATTCCGAGGCAAAGGGGTTTTCGCTTGGGTTGTTTTTCAAAGTGTGGTTCCTGCTGAACCGCTGGCCTCATGTTCGGGCTTCCGCTCGTTCAGAATCGTGCTCCCGCTGCAGCGCTGTCCTCCCCCCCCTCCTCCTCTTCCTCCTCCTCCTTCCTAATATTCGTCCTCCTCTTTCATTATAATATTCGTACTCCTTCTTCCTGATGTTCCTCCTACTCCTCTTCCTGATCCCTGATCTTCCTCCTCCACCTCCTTCCTGATATTCCTCCTCCTCCTCCTGATCTTCCTCCTCCTCCTCCTCCACCTCCTCTTCCTCCTCCTGCTGCTCCTCCGACGCCGCGATTTATCTCACAGCAGGGACCCCAGAGGTCTGGGCCCCGTCCCAGAGAGACCACCCTCTCGCCCCGAGCCGAGCCTGTCCAGGCCCGGGGCCAGCGGGGACCCACAGAAGCCGACGGGCGGCCAAAGACCCTACGTCGCAATGCTTGTTCGCCGCGAGCCCACGTGGGGGGAGGCAGATCAGGAGAAGGAGTAGGAGGAACATCAGGAGGAAGATCAGGAGGAGGAAGATCAGGAGGAGGAAGATCAGGAGGAGGAGGAGGAAGATCAGGAGGAGGAGGAGGAAGATCAGGAGGAGGAGGAGGAGGAGGAGGAGGAGGAGGAGGAGGAGGGAGAAGAGGGGGGGCCTCTGAGAGAGGACCACGAGGCGCCCACAGACGCGCCCACGGGGCGGCAGCGCGGCGCGACCTCGGCAGACTCAGCGCACGAGGCGCTCAGAAATGCGCCCACGAGGCGGCCACGAGGCGTCACGGGCGGCGCGACCTCTGCGATCCCACCTCCTCCTCCTGCTCCTCCTCGTCCTCCTCCTCCTCCTCTTCCTAAAAACTCTCTCCTCCTCCTCCTCCTCCTCCTCCTCCTCCTCCCCCTCCTCTTCCTCATATTCCTCCTCCTCCTCCTTCTATTATTCATCCTTCTCCTCCTCCTCTTCCTCATATTCCTTCTCCTCCTCCTCCGCCTCCTCCCCTCATCCTCTCGATTCCACCCAGCGACCTCTGCGATCCCACCCAG